GGTTCTTATTTCCTTAAACAAAATGAATTTGTTTTATACAACTGCCATCGGGAAAACAATGCACAAACAAAAACACAAAATACATTGAGAAAGCAGATTATTAAACTGGCCATACACTATGTGAATTTCGGCCAGTTCTTGATGCCTTTTGGCTGGCATCCCTTGATCAGCTGATTAAAGGAGCAAGTCAGAAAATATTCCAATGAACAGAGCAGGCAGCCAATCAGAGAGGGGGGCGCTGCTGGACTGGTGCAATAGCCAGCATGCTACTGGCTATTGCAATTTGAAATAGCCAATAGCAGGCTGGCTATTGCACCTGCCCACTGCTAATCAGCAGGGAAGGACCTGAAGGAAAACTTGCTGATTGAGAGCAGGCTGAGGGCGGGTGCCATAGCCAGCATGCTATTGGCTATTTCAAATTGCAGTAGCCAATAGCAGGCTGGCTATTGGCACACACCCACTGCCTGCTGTGTTTACATTCCCTGGCTGAAGCCATATGTGCTAGAATAGATCCCCTGACGTGGAAAGGTGACCCTAGAGGTCCAATAGAGCTTAGTCACCTCTAATGTGCTATAAAGTTACCAAACAAAAAAGTAAAAAAAAAAAAAGGGTAAATAAAATGAATTGAAAAATAGAATTGTAAAAAAGAACTGTAAAGTCCCCCGCCAATGCGTGCATGGGAATGGAAACACAAATCGGGTGCACCTACGTACGAAAATGAGAATTCTAGGGGCAATATCCATGGCCAACTGTAAACTGATGACCGGACTTTATATATAACATTTTATTATATTGGCATTGAGTTTTTCAATCCATATAACTAATTAAAATGTCTAATATAATGCATGCAATTATTGGAAAAATAAATGTAAAAAAGGTGGCAAAAGGTAATCTACAGTTTCAGCCTGACAAATTCTGCTGCAAGAGGTGCGTTGCTGTGCAATTCATTTCAATGTGTTCCAAATGTCGTCCTGTGACACTAAAGAGAACTAAAGCCTAAAAAGTGTTTGGCCATAATTCTCTTTAAAGTGACATTAAAGTCACAATGCTGCTTTAAGGTCTTTTCAGTGGTTTTCAGGAGTCCCTCCAGCGCTGGTGCCGGTCTCTGACCCAGCAATCACTGCTGTGACTTCCTGTCCCACAAACTCTGTGCGGGTGCACGCTGCCAGGCTGCCTGCATTGACTTACCATGTGTCTCTTCTCCCGGCCAAAGATGCCGACTGCGCCTGCCCTACGTTTCCTCATGGCCGCTCGAGTCTCTTCAGCTCTTTAGAGTGGTGAGTGGCGGAGACACAGGTAAGTAATAACCTGTTTGGTAACTTTTTTATTCTTTTTAAAGGATAATTCAAACCTCGGGTGTTTTTGCATATATCTACTGCTAGCAAGCAGTAAATACAGTGGGGCAAAAAAGTATTTAGTCAGCCACCAATTGTGCAAGTTCTCCCACTTAAATAAAACTTTAACCAAAAAGGGTTAATACTTACCCGTGTCTTCCCTGCGCGCTCTCGTCCGAAAATGTGAAAAATCTCGGGCGGCCGCAAAGCATCTTGGGGCGGGCGCATGCGCAGATCACATTTTTGGGCAGGACGCGAGGAAACACAAGATAAGTCTGTGGACGCGTGCACCCGCATGCAGACACCGTGGGACAGGAAGTGCCAGCAATCCCAGAGGAATCAGCGCTGGATCGGAGGCCCGCCACACCGCTGGAAGGACAGATAAAAAAGGACAAGAAAGAAGATCGGATTAAGAAACATCATTTAAAAGGAGAACTATGAGGTGTGTGATTTTTACTCAGCCTCATAAACTGAGCCGACCTGTGACAATGAAACTGTCACAGGTCGGCCCAGTAGATCGGGAAGTGAGCGAACACATACCGACGCTCGCTCAGCTCTCAATCATGTGCCGGCAGAGAGCCGTGACAGGGGAGGGGCTGGATTCCCCCCTCCCCAGTGCAATCCTCCAGCTCTGACTGGCGGAACGGACAGGGGAAGGGGTGGATACAGCTTGTCGGGATCCGTTCCGGCTGCAGCATCTCAGTATACAGCGAGCTGCAGCTCGCGGTATACTGAGCTTTGGGTAACGGGAGGACGCTAATTTGTGTCCTCCCGTTACCCTTAGTAGAACTATGGGGAAAAGCCCTAACCCCATAGTTATCCTTTAAGATAAGTGCTGACATTAACATTCAGGGAGGGAAAAACATTTTTGACTTTAATGTCACTTTAATGTTTTTGGATATATCCAATGCTTGCTAGCAGTGTTTAATTCTACTTTTAGTGCTGGCCTTCCTTTGCACATGGACAGTATAAAGCTTCAATTGAATAGAAGTCCTCTACTGTTCATGTAATGAAATAAAAAAACAAAACAAAAAGCCGCAAAAAAAACTGCTTATACTGTTCCTTCTGAGATCCGATACTCCCGAGGGAAGACTGTCTTTCATCACCCAGCTCATGTGACCATTCAGAGCCAATGAACTGACGTCAGGCAGGTTTATGAGGTCACAAAGTCTATAGTTAGTTTGTCCCATCAACTTACAATAAACTTATCTGCTGGAAAGGAGCGCTCAGGTCTGTTCCCAGATCAAATGTTAGTGTTGTTAGTCACCTTTACAGGACCACAAATTACTCAACCAGATCATTCTTACTTCCTCTTCCTTTATGGTTAGGCACATGGGCAGCCTATGCTGCACACACAATGTGGTCATTGCAACACAAAGGCTGAAACTACTATGACCCAATAAGTCAGTAAATACAAAATGGCCTTGTAGAGTGTAAGCTCTCAGGAGCAGGCTCCTTCTAATCCTCATGTATTGAACTCTATTACACTGTATGTAGTAAAGTGCTGTGCAAACTGTTGGCGCTGTATGAATCCGGTATAACAGTGAATGGCCAT